GTTCAGCAACAGGCGAGCACGTTCCTCGGAGAGGTGCGCTACCATGGTGATCGAGTCCAGCTCCATCCCGAGAAAAGAAATCCTCTGCACGGGGGCGAGTTTGCTCTTTTCTCGGTTGACCTGAAGCCCCAGTAGGCGGAGATGCCGAAGCACCTTGTCCCTGTGCATAATCAATTGCTCCCGCGAGTAGGCTAAAATCAGCCAGTCGTCGAGATAATTGAGTATGCGAATGCCCGCGAGCCGAAGGGGCGCTAGGGCACCCTCCGCGAGTTTGGTGAAGACCCGCGGAGACAGAGAGAGCCCGAAGGGGAGGACCTTGTACTGCCACGCTCGACCCTCGAACGCAAACCGCAGAAATTGGCGGTGGCGTGGAAGAATGGAGACATGGAAATACGCGTCCTTCAGGTCTATGGCTGCAAACCAATCCCGAGGACGAACGCATTGGAGAATGCGCCTCTGCGTGAGCATTCTGAACGGCAGCCTGTGCAGACAGCGGTTCAAAACGCGCAGATCTAGGATTGGCCGTGACCCACCGCTCTTTTTGGGTACGATGAAGTATGGGCTGTAAAACCCACTCTCCATCTCGGCTGGAGGAACCGGCTCGATTGCACCCTTCGCCAGGAGGGCAGCAATCTCCTCTCGCAAGACAGGGGCGGACAGGGGGTTGACCCTGGAGAAATACACGCCCGTAAACTTGGGGGGCCGTTTCGCGAACTGAATCGCGTAACCGAGTCTGATTGTGCGTATGAGCCACCGCGAGGGGCTGGTCCGCGCTAACCAGGCAGGCAGAGCCCTCGCTAATGGAGTCATCGCTACAATCGCTGACGTACCAGCGGTGGGGCAGCGCGGAGTGGGTGTGCTGATCCGGGAAGCACGAGGGTCCCGCGGAAGAGCTGGAGGAGAGCGATTCGCTCTGGCTCCACACCCTGACTCCGGAGAGGGGGCTGGAGGGCTGAGGGAAGGGAGACCGTCCCCCCAGCGCTCGTGAGCCACTGGCGAAGCACGTAGAGTCTGCGAGCCAGAAGGCAGCGCGTCCCGGACTGGCAGAACTCGTGCAGTCACATCCGGGGAAGGGAAAAAGTGCTCTTTTACTGATGTTTTGGTGGCACTGAAAAGTACCGTTGTTATCGGGGCCCCGCCCTCCAGCGGGGAAAGAGCAAGTTTCCTCTTCTCCGGATGGCCTGTCTCAGGGACGCTTCGCGGTCCGTTTACCGGACTTAACGGCGCCCTGGGCAGGAGGGGCTGCCTGCTTTCGAGGTGAACGCCCTCGGCGAGGAACAGCGGAGGTGGATGGCTCGGCGGGCGGAGCGGGCTTACGGCCACGCCGATAGATGACATTGCCCATCGCATCCGACTGCTCTTTCACCGCCTTGAATTCCTGGGTGAATTCACCGACGGTGTCGCCGAACAGGCCAGCCTGGGATATGGGCGAGTCAAGAAAGCGAACTTTGTCAACGTCGCGCATATCGGCCAGGTTTAGCCAGAGGTGGCGTTCCTGAACCACAAGTGTGGACATCGTCCTCCCCAGCGCACACGCGGCGGACTTAGTAGTCCGAAGAGCATAGTCGGTCGCGGTGCGCAGCTCATGTAATAAGCTTGGGTTGGACCCACCCTCGTGCAGCTCGGCCAGCGCCTGCGCTTGGTAGCGCTGGTAGGTGGCCATCGCGTGCAAAGCAGAAGCAGCCTGGCCCGCAGCCTTATAAGCTCTGGCTCCGAGGGAGGCAGACAACCTACAGGCTTTGGACGGGAGGCGGGGCAAACCCCGCCACGTAGAGGCGCCGCGCGGACAAAGATTGACCGCGATAGCGCGCTCCACTGACGGGATCGCCTCATACCCCCTGGCAGCTCCGCCGTCAAGGGCGGTGAGGGCGGAGGCACTCGCAGCACGGGCAGAGAAAGGTGCCCTCCAGGACTGCGTGAGCCTACTGTGCACTTCCGGGAAGAAGGGGACGAGAGGCTTCGAAGGCTTCGCCTTCTGGTCCTCTACGTAGCACCCATCTAGTCGGTCCGGCCGCGGAGCTGGGGGATAAACCATCTCCAACCCCACGGCCGAAGCAGCCCGGGAAAGCACGGCTAACATGTCCGCTTCAGGATCCGATTTGACAGCGCTCACCTGCCCGGAGGGGGCGAGCGGGTCCGGATCCTCGTCGGACAGTGAAAGCCCACCCTCCGATGCCGCGGAGGACATCTGATCTCCGGTGTCAGCGAGTGTGAGAGCTACCATCTGGTTAGACGGATCACTCTCACCACCCGAAGCTTGGATGGAGCGCCGTGAGGAGCGAGAGGTCCGCGAGCCTGTGGGCAGCGGATTATCTCCCGCTGAAACCCTCAGATCTGCCCGAGCGCCCGCTGCTTTTTTAGAACAGGAGGCAACTGGGGTGGCTCGCTCTCTTGCGAAAGTTAGCCGCGATCTTAGCTGTGCAACGGTCATGGCATCGCAATGACGACATGAACCGCCCGCGAGCACCGCATTAACATGCTGGACCCCCAAACATGCAATGCAGTGATCGTGTCCATCATCCGGAGCCAGGAAACCCCCGCATCCAGAAACGCACAGTCGGAGCGCCATCCTGAAAAGGACGTGCTGCACGACTGTGTTGCTCTTTTAGGAAAGTTGCAACTATACGCACCGCTCTGGAGGACCGGACCCAAAGAACCGCAGGCAAGGGAGTAACCCAGCTCGACCGTCTGCCACCGCGAAGACCCACTCTGGACCGGGAGACACACTCGTTCGCTCTGAAGTGCTGATCAGCCAGAGGAACCCTCATCGACTCACTCAGAAAGGATCTGAAGCGAAAAGGATGGCGTCTGCTGGCTTCAGGTGTGCTTATATGCTGAGATAATTGCAGATGTCGCACACCTGCGCAAGCTTACGCTGCCAATTAATTTCATTCATTGGCCCGTTCAATACTCTCCAGACAAGCGGCTTCTGATCCGAATCCTCCCAATGCGTGGATTTTACAAATCAAATCCACTTATAGTGCTAAAGTTCCCCCCGAAGGGGAACTGCTGTCTGCCAAGGATGACCAACCATGAGGACTTCTTTGTCTTGGAGGATGAGTCATGGCTGGCTTGGAAAATCTAGAATTGGTGAACTGAATTTATACAAGTATTCCCCAATTTAAAATCACCCAAAAACAAACTTAAACGTTTCTGACACAAATTCACTGTTTCAACCTTGTGGGAAAATTTCACTGCATTGATTGATTGTTGCTATTATTTTGAGATACAGCTTTTATTCTGTTTTTTTAAGTTGTGCAATTCTGTCAGAATTTGTCTAAAATGTAACTATTCCTCCAAAAGAAAGTTGACAGGACATTTTCCATGACATGGATAAAGGACTTTTTTCAGAGCTTAACATTGCTGTAAATTTTAAATAGATTTGTTTAGCAAATTGTACCATTTCGTTATCAATGAAACATGTAATAAAATTATATTTGGCAAAAATGCATTGTGTATGTATATATATTTCATTATAAATTATATATTTTACATGTTATGAATGAGTAAGTTTTATTGATAAATATGAGTAAATTGTGTTTTATTTACTTAAATTATAAAAGCACATTCCACTAATAAAATTAAAATCCTCATATAACACTCAAAAGATTAAGTAATTTTCATAAAAAAGTCATAAAGTCATACAAGTAATTTTTGCGAGAAAAAAAATTAAGTTTTCAAACTACTTAAAAATAATATGTGCAACAGTGTTACTACTGTTTTTTAAGTAAATAACACATAAAATTTTTAACAGTGTTAAGCACCCCTGGTCTAGTGAATACTTGGCTAATCATCAAGATGTTATTACAATGTCCAGCTTGGCATGTTTGTCAAAACTGAGTTATTCAAATACTGTTATTCTGTGACAACCTATTTACATAATATACCTGTATTAAACCATTTCTTTTAAGTTGAGTATAAATTTGTAGCCAAGATAAGTGATATTTATGCTTAAATCCATGACAAAGCACAATTATCGTGATGGGTTGAAATATATATATTTCAATTCCGGAGAAAAACGGGAGTGTTGTTAGGTATGCTATGATGTGTTTAACAACCTGCTATATTTCTAATTTCCTAACAATTTACCTCCTATTATGGGCTAAAGTGTTTTGAGCTACCTTTCTTGCACACATTGATCAAGACAACAAGTATGTATCTTAAATAATACATAAATTAAGAAATAATAATACAATTATAATGTTTTATCAACATTTCTCAATTTTTATATATATATATATATATATATATATATATATATATATATATATATATATATATATATATATATATATATATATATAATAAACATATCATATTATTATATTAAAAGTACTGCAGATATTGCATTCATTTTCTTTCTGGCTTAGTCCCTTTATTAATCTGGGGTCATCACAAAGGAATGAACCGCCAACTTTGCCACAACCCATCACTACAACCCATCACTGGGAAAGATATTATACTACCAATATTATATATATTATTTTCTCATGTATAAAATATAATTGTCTTGTTTCCCAAAACATTTTTGTTAACTTATATGGAATAAAAAAAAATAAAAAAAAAACTTTTAAGATTAATCTATGGTGCTCAGAAGAACCTTCCATTGGGGGTTTTGAGCAAAAATTTGAGTGAATAATGCGTGTATAACTGTTTTCCATGTTACAACAATAGGCAACAGTTAATTATCAGTTTCGGTAAATGTTTTGTGAATGATGTAACATTCTCTGATATGGTTTTGTGTGTCGGATAAGGTTGCTTTTATTTGTTTATTTATTTAGATTTAGATTTTGTTTTTGCTTTGGTTGCTTTTATTGTTCAGATTAGTCAGTTCATTTGTGTAAAAGCGTCAGAAAATAAATAAAATGTAAATGTTTTGAGTTTGTGATGAAGGTCAATGCTATGATGAACAGAACAGAATGAAGTCTTACGACAAATGTTCAGCCATTTCATAACAACACAATATAAACTGCAGATTCTTCGGAGCGACATTTACTCACAAGGCGTCTGTCAATATCTGTCTCACTCTTCATGTTAGATTTTGGTGTATATTCAGCATATCTCATCAAGTCTCCGTCCAACGTAACGCCACTGGAGCTCGCCATGCTGTTGATGACGGACGCCGCTACGGAAATTCTAATGGGACAAACTTCATGCAGCTGAGGGTCTCACGCACTTCCAAAACAGACCCCACTCTTAAATTTAAAATACATTACATTATTAATAATGACAGTAAACCATCCAATAAACTACTTATACTTATGTTAAATGATTTTAAAATTATGTTACGCTTTATGTTTTGGGTTTCGCGGGGAATTCCACATAGAGACTTGGCATAGCTTACAGCCATAAGCAGCTGAGCCACTGCGATCAGCTGCTGTAGTTTATGTAAAGGCCAACAGACACGCTACAGAACATACTAGAACTTCAATGAATCATTATAAACATCCACGTCGTAATGCCGTAGAACGCGGGGGATATAGAAGACATACAATAAATCAAAGAAACAACATGACGGACAGCGGGCAAACAAATAATAATGAATGTCCGAACAGCTCTCCTGGTACATCAAACCCACAAAATCAGCCAGAACAGTAAGTATAGATGCTTTTAATCAGCTTCAGAAATTATTTATTTGACCGTTTATTTGACAATTAACGTATGGATAAAAATTATTATGGTTTAAAAAAGCGTACGCTGCATTTAAAACGCATTCTTTTTAAAATATATTTATTTAAATGTGTCATAATTTCAATGTGTTATTATTTGACTATCAGTTTTAAGCTAGTATTTGTATTTTTATTGCTTCGACTCATAATATAACATATAAGAAACAACCAAATTAGTTTCACTTTCGTTTCTGTCTAAACATTACAGGAAGTGAAACTTGCTTAGGCTTAATGTTTACCATAGCAACTGTGTTATGAATTGCGTCTATTCTTCTTAAAATCGTTATAAACAGGAATCGTTAAAGAGAAGATTATTACAATAATAAAAATGCAACTAGAACGGATAGTCGATCTCCCCCAGAACGCTACCTTAGCTATTTATTCTTTCTAACGCATTCAAATATACTAATTATATCATTTACAAAAAATAACCCAATAAATATATTATAAAATTAATTATAAAACAATTAAATATTTATTTTGTTAGTTTGTGTGTGTATATATATATATATATATATATATATATATATATATATAGAGAGAGAGAGAGAGAGAGAGAGAGAGAGAGAGAGAGAGACCATTTGACCATTTGGAGTGATGTAAACTAAAATAATGGTCCCAACGTTTTTATATTTTTAATTTTCAAAGCTTCTGAGATTCCAAAAGAGCCACATATTAATAATTAAAATACATTGTGTGTTATATGCCATGCCAATAATATGCTTTATACGTTTGTAAAAGCAATACATTAAAATACCCTTTAAAAATTATATATATATATTAGTACTATATTATATATAGTACTGTTTTAGTGAACTTGAACAAGTATACTAAAAAACATGTACACTATACACAATACACTAACATGTCTTACGTCAAAACAAACTTTTTTTTGCATGCAATTTATCATCAATAATCTTTGCTCAGTGACTCAGTGGTAAGCACTGTCACTTCACAGCAAGAAGGTCGCTGTTTTTGAGTCCCAGTGGGCCAGCTGGCCTTTCTGTATGGAGTTTGCATGTTCTCCCTGTGTTGGCATGGGTTTCCTCTGGGTGCTCTGGTTTCACCCACAGTTAAAAGACATGCGCTATAGGTGAATTGGTAAACAAATCTGGTAGTAATGTTTGATTGTGTGTTAATGTGAGAGTGTATGGGTGTTTCCCAGTACTGGGTTGCAGCTGAATGGGCATCCGCTGCGTAAAAAATATGCTGGAATAGTTTGTGGTTAATTCTATTCTGGTGACCCCTGATAAATAAGGGACTAAGCCGTAGGAAAGTGAATGAATGTATGAATAACCTTTGCTCAACACTAATTATTAACAATTTTAATTGTTTAAAAAACGAATTATTCTGTTAATCAAGGTGGCATTTATTAAATGTTAAAAAGTTTTTATATTGTTAAATATTTATAAAATTTTAAATAGTGACTTTCTTATTGTAGTTTTAAATGAAATTATTACTCCAGTCAGTATTGCTTTTATTACCATTATAATTTATAATAATAACTACAACAATAATTATAATTAATATTAGAGAGATTTCTAAAGGACCATGTGACCAAACACTGGATATATAGTAGCTATTTCAGATGATAATTATAGTGCATGCTCTCGTCTTCAGTAAATTATTTAGAATTATGTTTCCCATTTAATTCAAATAAATATTTAAATAAAAAAAAATACTTAAAAAAAACAAATGTGGGGACGGTGTCACGGTGAAAAAGTGATGTCACCGGTGTTGCGTCTTAAAACCGGTATCACCGTCAACACCGTCTTATCGTGGCAAGCCTAAATATATATATATACCAGAATAAGGTACTCCTACGTCTGTCAATAATACACAAATGCAGCAGGAAACGAGTATCCGCTGATGTCAAGAGGAAGGCTAGAGAGTGCCTTTTTTCTTGCGCTCCTCTCCATCACAAGATAGACTACCTGTCTTCAAGGCAACATTTCTAAGGGTGCTTTCACACCTACACTTTTGTTTCGGAACGTATCTCGTTTGCCCAGTTAGCGCGGTTCGATTGGCATATGTGAACAGGGCAATCGCGCTCTGTTCCGCGCCAAAGTAATCGCTCCGAGATCGCTTAAATGTAGTGGTCTCGGCTCGATTGAAACGAACCCTGGAGCGGTTCGATTGTAGTGAGAAAGAGATCCGATCTGGGCGTGGTTGTATCACTGTGTTTTATGGATATGTAATAGGCATATACGGCTATATGAAGAGAGAATTATGAGTGGGGTGGGAAGTTTCGCGAGTCTCCGCATGCCCGCAAACGAGTGATGATCTCCCGGTAATCTCGCGTCTCCCTCCCGGTCCTCAAATAGGCATCGTCGCGCACCCTTCTCACCCCTCCCCACCGCGTCTCTCCTCACGTCGCGCGCGCGCACCCTGTCAATCACCACCAAACCACCACCTCTCCTGACAGCTTAGCGGGATGCTGCAAAATAAACCCTGACACTCTGACCAATGTTAGGAGAGTTTACTTGCACGTGACTTGTTTTAGCTCTTTTGGTCCGATTAGAAACTTTGCAGTGTGAAAGCGAACCGCTCCAAAAGCAAAGAGCAACAATGTAACAATTGTAATCTCTGTTTCGGAACAACTGAATTGATTCACAGGTGTCCTTTGTAAGTTTATTGTTTAAATTGTTTTTTTACATATAGCTGTGTAGCCTATCTAAAGATTTATTTATGTGGTTGCTCCTATTATTTATAGCTTAAAACCTCATGTTAATACTTGTTGTTGTTTATTTATTATAAGGGAACATAAAGGGCACAAGTTGTTATGAAGAAAAATAAATGGTTTTGCTTTTTCACAACAACCAATAAATAAGCTATTATTATTATAATTATTACAGTGAAATAATTCATTAAACATTACAGGGCAAGGCGAGCTTGTGTCGCGGACTTGGTGACACTGCCGCTCCGCCCGCTCTGATCATACAGTTTTGGTTTTTAGCAGCGGTGTGGAGCGCCCTCCAATCTTTTTGTAACAAGCTAAAAGTCGTTTATCTAACTAACTTGATCTTACTTATCAAACAAAACATTGATTCACTAGCTTTTCTTAATGGTATTACTGTAGTAGAATATAGCCTAAGGTGGATATATCATTTATGTATGTTTATGTCACATAAAAAAAAACATTGTTTCTGTAACCACAGTAATATTTTGACATGTTTTATTTTGGTAAAGGGGATAGGGATTTTTTGTGTCCATGTCAGTGGTTTGTTTATTCAGTGTTCACCACTGTATTATTTTATATTAAGCATTATGCTGTTGCCAGAATGTATTTCTGTTTCTGATAATTTAATTTATTAGTGGCCAACATATTTCCTACAACATTTTCCATTTTTACCACATGATTCAATTTATAATGTGTCATCATGCAACCCTTTTGGGGTAATTTTTAATGGCTTGGTGTTTTTGATATGCTTGGTGTTTTGAATTTATAATGACATCGGCATTATTTGGGGTGTGTGTATTGTGTCACCATCAAATATGACGGGGATAGAGGGGGAGTTCCACAGAGTTGTTTGTGGAAAAATTTTGATTTTACGTAAGAAAACATGACTTACATCCAACCTTGGTTTAGATGCATTGCTGGCACATGAGACAGCTGATAAGTTCTTAACACTGGAGCCTCAACCGGAAACCAAATGTACCTAATTCATGCCTTTTCCCACACAGTGCTGGTGGATTTACCAAGATACCACCAAATGAATCAAGACGGAGCAAATTGCTGAGTAGTAAGTCATGACACAACTGTTGTTGCATTTTCCATCTTCATCTGATCCAGATGTGTCTCTAATTGTTACCATCAGGTGTAATTTCAGCATGTGTGAATGTAAAGGGAAGACAGATTTCCTTTGTTGTTGATGTTGTTGTTGTTGTTAATGCAGCTAAATATTATCTTTAGGTTGGAATACACGCAACCTCCTTATATATATATATATATTTATATATATATATATATATATATATAAGCCCCCCTGTTTTATATTTTACTGGTTAATTTTTAAGACTTTTATACAGCTGTAAGTGACATTTAAAGGCTCAACTGGTTAACTAGCTTTACTAGGCAGGTTAGGGTAATTAGGGAAGTTATTGTATGATGATGGTTTGTTCTGTAGACTATCGTGGAAAAAAACATATAGCTTAAAAGGACATAACTTAAAATGGTGTTTATAAAATTAAAAACAGTTTTTTTCTAGCCAAAATAAATCGAATAAGACATTCTTATTGGAATATAAAAAAATGTATTAGACATTCTGTGAAAATTTCTGTGCTCTGTTAAACATCATTCATTCATTCATTTTCTTTTTGGCTTAGTCCCTTCATTAATCCCCTTAATTTCCACAGTGGAATGAACTGCCAACTTATCCAGCATATGTTTTACGCTGCAACCCATCTCTGGGAAACACTCATACACTCTCATTCACACACATACACCATGGACAATTTTAGCTTACCCAATTCACCAATAACGCATGTCGTTGGACTTGAGGGGGAAACCAGAACACCCAGAGGAAAACCCACGCAAACGCGGGGAGAACATGCAAACTCCACACAGAAATGCCAACTGACTCAGCCGAGGTTCAAACCATTGACCTTCTTGCTGTGAGGCGACAGAACTACCTACTGCACCCCCATGTCGCCCTCTGTTAAACATCTTTTGGGAAATATTTTAAAAAGAATAAAAAATTCAAAGGGAGGGTAATAATTTTAACTGTGTATATATATATATATATATATATATATATATATATATATATATATATATACACAGTTGAAGTCAGAATTATTAGCCCCCCTGAATTATTAGCGCCCCTGTTTATTTTTTTACCCAATTTCTGTTTAATGGAGGGAAGATTGTTTCAGCACACTTCTAATCATAATAGTTTTAAAAACTTATTTCTAATAACTGATTTATTTTATCTTTGCCATGATGACAGTAAATAATATTTTACTTGATATTTTTCAAGACATTTCTATACAGCTAAAGTGACATTTAAAGGCTTAACTAGGTTAATAAGGTGAACTAGACAGGTCAGGGTAATTAGGCAAGTTATTGTAGAACGATGGTTTGTTCTGTAGACTATCAAAAAAAAATTTGCTTAAAGGGGCTAATAATTTTGTCCCAAAAATAGTTTAAAAAAATTCAAAACAGCTTTTCTTCTAGCCAAAATAAAACAAAGACTTTTTGTCTAGAAGAAAAAATATTATCAGACATACAGTGAAAATTTCCTTGCTCTGTCAAACAAACATCGTTTGGGAAATATTTAAAAAAGAAAAAAAGATCAAAAGGGGGCTAATAATTCTGACTTCAACTGCATATATATATATGTATATATATAAATATATATACATACACACAGTTGAAGTCAGAATTATTAGCCCCCCTGGATTATTGATTATTAGCCTTCTGTTAATTTTTCCCAAATTTCAGTTTAACAGAGAACTAATTCTTTTTAACACATTTCTAAACATAATAGTTTTGATAATTAATTTATAATATCTGATTAATTTTATCTTTGCCATGATGACAGTAAATAATATCTGACTAGATATTTTTCAAGACACTTCCATGCAGCCTAAAGTGACATTTAAAGGCTTAACTAGGTTAATTGGGTTAACTTGGCAGTAAATGGTAATTAGGCAAGTTATATTGATGGTTTGTTCTGAAAACTGAAAAATTTAGCTTAAAGGGGCTAATAATTTTGACCTTAAAATGGTTTTAAAAACATAAAAAAAACAGCTTTTATTCTTGCTGAAGTAAAACAAATCAATTTATATATATATATATATATATATATATATATATATATATATATATATATATATATATATATATATATATATATATATAAATCAAATTAAATATATATAAATTGCAGCACTTTTCAGAGTAGTACAGATGTTTCATATTTATTATTACAAATAAATATGTGTTTCCTCACTACAATAAAATTCCTAACATAAATTTTGTGCATGATTACTATGCTTATAATTGAAGTTGTTTTGTTTTCTTTTTTCATTTTACCTAAAGTGATTTGGTTGATTATACCTATAGACAATAAAATATCACTGTAATGTGATTTTGAATGTGCTTTACTAACTAGTTGCCCATAGTTTGCGATTCACATGTTCTCCATTTATTTCCCCATTCAAACAGCATTCTGTAGGCTTATAACTTGTAGTTTTTTTTTTAATTATCATTGTTAGAATACCTTAACTATTTATTATATTTAACTATATACCGGCTGATTTATCATGAAACTAAGTTTCAATTCATAATTAAAATTTACAAATTTAATACCATTTTTATAAACTCGTGTAAATGATTTAGACCAAATAACTAATGATTGTTAAATGAAATCTGTGTCATCTGCTGAATTAAAATGCATTTGCTCAAGTGGCACAGAAACGACATATAAAATAATAATTAAATGTATGTACACTGAGGGTTTAAGTTTAAAGATATTAATGTATTTACATTGCAATTACAGTAAAATAATGTTATGAGATTAATGTTTTAAAAATAAAATTCTGGTTATAGAAACATGGACTGTTGAGGGGGGACTTAAAAATAGGACTACTTAAAAATTTTACATTAGGTTTTTTTAGTTTGCAGAAAGTCCTTACGATTTAGTTACTGAATCTTTCGCACAAACAATTTGTTCAAAGTGACTGATTAATTCAGAAAAAACACCTCTATGTTGCTTAAAGAGAAGAGCAACAACAATGAGTAAACTAGAGACATACATAACCTGTGCAGAGTGATTACAAGTCACGACAACACACAATTAAATACATACTTTGCAAGCTAGAGAAAACAATGAAGCTCCTGTCAAGGACTGACAATACAATAATCGTTATTGGTGCTGATACTTCCGTTAACAAATAGCCAGCAAATTCCATGTTACAGGGTAGGTTATTGCATTGATCATCAAAAAAAGGACAAGAACAAACACAGCACAAGGTTGACTTAGCTATACTGTGGTATTGTTGTGAAAATGAACTTGAACCATGTATTACCTATACAGCATCTCTCTCACAGTGATCAGTGACCACTCCACTTCAGTCATGATCAATCCCATTACTTGCACTCTGCTAGTGTTTGAAGAGGAGAGTGGGTTCAAGTTTACTCTGCTTTTTAAGATGCTTTGTCATTTTTATTTGCTGTGGTTCATGATTCATGTTTACTCATTCATTCATTCATTCATTCATTCATTCATTCATTCAGTCATTTAATCATTTTCTATTCGACTTAATCTGGGGTCACCACAGAGAACCACAACTCATTGGCGTGGGTTTCCTTCAGGTGCTTCGTTTTCCCCCACAGTCCAAAGACATGCGCTATAGGTGAATTGGGTAAACAAAATTAGCCACAGTGTATGAGTGCGTGTGTGAATGTGAGAGTATACAGGTGTTTTCCAGTACTGGTTTGCGGCTAGAAGGGCATCCGCTGTGTAAAAAAATATGCCGGAATAGTTGTTGGTTCATTCCGATGTGGCGACCCCCAATAAATAACAGCCTATTCAAATGTTATCACTTGATTGAATGGACTTTATCGGTGGTTATCAGCTGATAGATATGGGCCAGTAGGGGCCTTCTGCACCTACTGGTAGGCTCAGAAAGCTGTTATTATCCATCCACATGGTCAATTAGATATAGATCACAGCTGTGGCTTGAAGCTGAATTATTTATTTAATTATTTATTAAATTCTGTATTAATTTTATTTTATTAACCTCTACCTACCCCAACCCTAAACCCAATCATCACAGTAATGTACAAACAGATCTGGATCTGGAGTCTTGCTTTTTTATGTGGATGGATGATAAAAGCCTTCTAAACCTACCAGAAGGTGCATATTTATCAGCTAATAAGTGATAACCATATCTATTAGTTGAAAACCACTGATAATGCCCATTCAATTGAGGGATAACATTTGAAGCGAGTGCAAATAAGGGACTAAGCCGAATAAATGAACGAATGAATGAATGAATGAATGAATGAATGAATGAATGAATGAATGAATGAATGCCATTAGTATGAAAAGGATCAAAAGTTTTTGGCATCACTGTCCCATAGCAATCGTTTTACCTATAAATTGAAGAGAAACTGCGTTTAACTACTGCGTTTAATTTTTCACAAAAATTTAGGTTGAAGCACGTATTTCGACCCTTTGTTTTAAAAACTTCCAGTTGCCATCCCTGAGCTGAAAAACACTTACATTCCTCTCTGTAGTCTCACAGAAAGGAGAGGAGAATCTGAGGAGACTGAAGGAGGAGAATCGTCCCGGTCCCATTCATCTGCCTCCAGAGAGACTAGGTAATGCAGAGAGGAAACACATGGGAGTCTTGATCTTGAGGGGAAAAAAAAAACAGTTAAGCCTCTAAAACTTCAGATGTATTCATTCTCGCAGGTGGCAACGTTTCATTGGAAGAAGTCAGACAGAAACAGTGGGTGAATGCACGGAACTCAAAGATTGAAAAAAAGGTTTACAGTAGGAAGTTAATTTCCTAAAATCCTTTATGTGTGTTGTTTAATGTACTTAACGGTATATTTGAAAATCCATACAGGTCAAAAAGGAGGAAATGGATAAAATGAAAAGACAGGCAGAGGAAGAAACAAATGAGAAGATGAAGGCCAAACAGCGAGAGAAGGTATACAAGACATTGTTTACATCTGACTTTTTACAGCAGTCCTGCAGGGTATTCTGTGACTCACATCTATACAACTTCATCTGGTCCTCTGTCTTGTGTTCGAATTAAGTGCTGTTTTTATGATGCCTTTGTAATTCAGACTTTATAACTCCAGATGTCACTGCAGGCAGCACACGCGTTATCAAATTCTCTGCAATTAAATGAGATATTAGACTTCAGCCTTCAGTGCTGCTGCCACATTAGGTTGTGTGATTGATGACTCCAATTATTCCAGTGACCACAGACACCAAAGTTCCTAAAATATGCTCTGCTTGCCAGATCTCAAATTTTAGGGATATAATAACCTTAGGACAAGTTGAAAAAGATTCAACTTTATTTTAGTTGTCCACAGTACAAGTAAAAAGCAAATTAAATGCTGTCTGCATCAAACAAGAAGTGCAAAAGAATGATTGTGTAATGATTAACAAATGGGTAACACTTTATTTTAAGGTGTTCTTCATGTTCCGTATATCCTGTAGTATCCATAATTACATGCAATTAACCCTATACCTACTCACATTGTAACTCTAAACATATAGTAAGTACAGTCTATGTAATTAATTATTATTTTATCCATTCATTCACTCATTTTCCTTCAGCTTAGTGCCTTTATTCATCAGGGGACGCCACAGCGGAATAATCCGCCAACTTATCCAGCATATGTTTTACACAACGGATGCCCTTCCAGCTGCAACTCAGTACTGAAAAACATGTATACACATTCATTCACATGCATACACTACGGTCAGTTTAGTTTATTCAACTCCCCTATAGCGCATGTCATTGAATTGTGGGGGAAGCCGAAGCACTCAGAGGAAACTCACATGAACACGAGGAGAACATGCAAACTCCACACAAAAATTCCAACTGACCTAGCAGAGACTCAAACCAGCGACCTTCTTGCTCTAAGGTGACAGTGCTACCCACTGAACCACTGTGTGTCCTCCCCCTAATTATTATTCTTCAGAAGGTAAATGAATAATAAAACAGTTAAAGTAAAAGTAAAGTTTAAGTAAAAAGTTAAGTGTAACATGGACACCTTAAAAAAATAAAATAAATAAATAAAAAACTGCACTCTTCTGTAATCAAACGATTTAATACAATGTCAAAATATGTTAATTATGTTGACCAAAAAATAACTAATTTTGTGGTGAAAATGTGATAAATTAGAAAAATATAAAAGAAGATTAGAAAAAATAGAATATTTTTATAATTTGTTGTCTATTTGTTTGTAAATATCCAAGATTAATGGAACTTAAAGAGAAAAAGTGACACAAATACCTAATGATGTTTTCATTAAAAAGGCTGAACTCCACTCTGCATTTCAAGTCTTCCATTGTACATGTCGAACTACTGGACAAACTGGTAACAGAGGTAACCGGTCAGCTGGTAAGTAAAAAAAGGAAAGATGTCATACCGTCATTTTAAAGATGAAATACAGCCATACGTAGCTTTGGCTACATAATTTGAGATCTTCAGAAACGTATATAAGGCTATGTTTCAGAATGAGCCTATGTTGGAAGCAGTACTGGCTCATTGTGAATACGTAACCCTGTCTACATTTCTGGAGAGCACAGATTATGTATCCAGAAGTATGTCTGGCTATTTAGTCTTTAAAAAGAATGCTACGGGCTAATATGAGGCCACTGATGGCTTCTGATTATTTGAGCGGTATCCGCCAACCACTTACCTTCGTGTGGACAGCTTTTTTCAGTGTTACCAGTTTGCCTAGCTCACCCCCTGTACATTGGCAGACTTGGGTCGTAGATCTGAGTTGACTGCGACGATGGGCTTTGAGTCCGGTAAAGAACGCAAAAATTAATAAATAAACAACAGACTAAAAACTGAAATCACGCGGCCTGACAGCTTTTGTTTTTCTAGATTGATTTTGAAAACAATATCAATTGGGTTTAGATGGGGGGGTGGGTGGATAGGTCAGTCAGTTGACAGCAAGCTTGCCTAGTTAAGTAAAGTGTATATTGCGCCCTCTGGTGGATTTACGTGAGAAGAGGACGTGCGAGAGGAATTTGTGATCATCAATAAGCAAACACAACAGCCTCTAGAGGATTTGCAAAAACAAAAACTTATAGAAGATGTACCTGGTTGAACCTTGGATCCAGGAGGAACAATGCCGTTTTCGTCTGGGCCGTGACACACTGGATCAGCTCTACACCCTCACCATGTGTCCACATGTGTTTTTTAGACTTGGAGAAGGCATTCGACCGTGTGCCTTGTGGCATTCTGTGGAGGGTGCTGTGGGAGTATGGAGTCAGAGGCGCTTTGTTATGATCTGTCTTGTCCCTGTATAAACAGACTAGGATTTTGGTTAGCATTGCCAGCAATAAGTTAGACTGTTTAGTGCATGTTGGGCTCCAGCAGGGCTGCACTTTGTCGCTAATTCTGTTCATAATTTTTATGGACAAAACTTTAAATCAGCAGGATTTCATCTCTGTTATTCACAGAAGATGTTGTTCTGTTGGCTTCATCGAACATGGATCTTCAGCATGCACTGGGGAGGTTTGCTGCTGAGTGTAAAGTAGCTGGGATGAGAATCAGCACTGAAGTCTAAAGCTATGGTGCTCCACCGGGAAAAAGGTGGATTGCCACCCCCAGGTTGGAGGAAAGTCCTTACGCCAGGTGGAGGAGTTCAAGTATCTTGGGGGTTTGTTCATGAGTGAGGAAAGGTTGGAGCATGAGATGACAGGCGGATCGGTGCAGTGACAGTAGTAATGCAGTCGATATACTGGTCCTTTGTGGTAGAAGAAGGAGCTGAGCCGAAAGGCAGAGCTTTCAATTTACTGGTCAATATACGTTCCTACACTCACGTCTGGTCATGAACTTTGGGTCATGACCAAAAGGACAAAACCTTAAATACAAGCGGCTGAAATGAGTTTCCTTCGCAGGGTGGCAGGGCACACCGTATTGACAGGGTGAAGAGCTCTGTCACCCAAGAGGAGCTCGAAGTAGAGCCGCTGTTCCTCCACATCGAGAGAAGTGTGTTTTGGATCTGTTTCGGATGCCTCCTGGATGCCTACCTAGGGAGGTGTTCCAGGCATGTCCCACCGGGAGGAGGCCTCGGGGAAGATCCAGAACATGCTGGAAGGACTATGTCTCTAGGCTGGCCTGGGAACACCTCAGGATCCCCCAGAGGAGCTGGAGGAAGTGTCCAGGAAGAGGGAAGTCTTGAATTCTCTCCTAAGACTGCTGTCCCTGCGACACGGCCCCGGATAAGCGGATGAAAATGACATGACGGATGTACCTCCATTTACGTATTTTGCAGTCCCCAGAAATGTAGACCTGGGTACATATCGGCAATGAGCTTGGGTTGGTATGAGATGTGCTAAATGAATACATATTCTTTACCTTACCTTAATAGTGATAGTTCAGTAGTTTGAAAGTACAGTAGAAACAGTACTGTAACAGAAACAAAAAAACAACAGTATTATCTGAAACATCTTTCATTACATGCATATTGTACACTATGTCTTTTGTTATAAGAATATCATTTGATGTGACAATTCAAATGAACAAAACAATTGATATTTAGCAACAAAAAAAGGAACACAGAACCACAATGTTTAATCTTATTTTCAATGGATTAGCTTTTAGTTCATGTTGCATATTAAGATGAGATTGGATAAAGCATGTAAACATCTGCACTCATCACTTTTGATGCATTGAATTGCAGGCCAATAAGCTAGAAATGAGGAAAAAGCAAGAAGACGAAAGGAGAAAGCAGCAACACCAACAAGACAAACAAAAGTATGTCAATATTTTTCTTGCATCTTTCTAGATTGATTGTGTGCTTTGTTTAAAGGAGGAAATAGGGTGTTAAGCTGCTATTGGCAATTACTCAAAATAAAGAAAAGAAAAGAACCATGAAGGTTTACTTTTTGTAAGTTCAACAGAAAATATGTCATTGTTTAGAGCTCCTGGCAAGAGGTGATTGAAATCACAGGCAAGGAATCCTACACGTTATTGAAATCATCGTTTCATCTTATCTGTGCTGTTGGCAGTAAAACATCTGTCATCATTTAATCTCATGTCAATGCAGATCCACATGACTTCAAAATGAAACAGAAGGAGAAATGTGTTTTTCATGCTGCTATTTTTAAAACGATGAAAGCAAACAGTGACCAGACGTAGGGAAAATGGGTAAATAAAAGCATCAGAAGACATGTAGTTCATATTTAGTGCAATTTTGCACTATATTAAATTGTTTTAAACTCTTATTGTTTTGTGTAAGAATCATTTATTTATTAATTTTCCGTCAGCTTAGTCCCTTTAATTATCAGGGGAATGAACAGGGAAATGAACCGCCAACTTATTCAGCATATGTTTTACACAGCGGAAACCCTTCCAGCAGCAACCCAGTGCTGGGAAACACCCATACACTAACATTTACACACCTACACTACAGCCAATGTTGTTAGTCCAATTCACTTATACCACATTTCTTTGGACTGTGGGGTAAACCCGAGCACCCGGAGCATTTCAGGACAATGAACTCTACTTGTAAAAACAATTATATAATGCTACTCTCTGATGATTTGAAGGGATTCTATTATCCATACTTGTAAGGAAAAAAGCATCTACTAAATGAGTAAATGCAAATTTTTAACTACTTTTGGTGGTCAAGTATTTGCAGTTCATAACAAAATACATTCTAATGTATTCACCCCAACCTTTGTGTGCTAATATGCGCCCTTTACAATATTATAAGATATAAATTTGGTTAGCATCAGAATTAGGTGTAATGCATTCCACGGTTACATATTTAAGGATAGAGTAATATCAGAATTACATTTTAAATTTGTGTAATTTGATAACAGTAACTAAAGTCAATGTAATTCAGTACTTGCGTTACAAATGTAGTTTTTAGAAGAATTTTTTTAATTTATTTATTTATTTTTTTAATCACGGCTTAATGAGCATGCGCTTTTAAATTGCTGGAAAATGCAAGTTGAAAGGGTTGCCGTCGAGAGTTATTGTTTCTTCAAGTGGAAATATCAGACATTACGTTGATTTCATTAAGCGTAAAAACAAAAATATTGCTGTGAAATTCAGTCCGGTCTCCAAAGAACTTTCGACTGCTTTTAACTTCACCAGACACTTGTTCAAGCATTTGAACAGAAAGCATTCTATGAAAATTCTCGTCACCAAGGAGGACATTGGTGCCCAAAAACACCAACTCAACTACACTATCAAATTGCTGAAGATCTTTTCTTTATTTGCTGGTGTTTTTTCTAAATGCATTTGCTTTCTTAAAATGCAGCTCGTTAGGCTCTCTCAGCCACTGTAGAATCGTAGAGTCGTAGTCAAATACATAGGCGATAGTCAGTACAGACAAGCAACAGGCAATGTAAACAAACAAACAAAGTGAGGGTCAAAAACACAGCAAGACAAGGCAAGGAAACCGCATCGTAATGTTCACAAAACTGTACAACAAGACTCACCACTATGTGTGTGTGTGTGTGTGTGTGTGTGTGTGTGTGTGTGTGTGTGTGTGTGTGTGTGTGTGTGTGTGTGTGTGTGTGTGTGCGTGCGTGTGTGTGTGAGTGTGTGTGTGTGTGTGTTTGTGTGTGTGCTGTCTTTATAGTCTTAGTATTTAGTCTTTGAGCAACGTCAACTGTATCTGAGTGTGTCTCATCACCGAAACTACAGTAGGAACAGGTGTGTGTATGCGAAGTGCATGTATAGAGTTGTAGTCCATAATATGGCGGATCTGTAGTCTGTTAGCAAACTGTTTGCCAGCAGAGTGAATTATGGGAGAATTTTAGGTTGTGGGTAAAGCTTTTAAGTCTTGAAAATGTCAAGCTGCTGTGATCAACCCATTGTAATGATTTTCAGTGAATATTAAATTATTAAATTTATTCAGTTTATTTAGCATTTGTATAGTTATATTTTATATGTTTTAAAAATAACTTCAAAGAAAAGTTAATATGGAATCAGAGTACAGTAGTAGTCAGTAATTTGTAATCTCTTACTTTTTTTAAAGTAGCTTACTTTAAGGTTAGTTTAGTGCTTTGAAAAACAGTGCACTTTTTTGGTAATTTCTGGAAGAAAGACGCTGAAATGGGTTTGGAACAACATGCGGACAAGTGAATGACAACAGAGTTTTCATTTGTTTGGATGAACTATCCCTGTAATCATAATTATGTCCCTTCCTCCTGCAGGAAAACAGAGGAGTTTCTTCAAAGATTTGAGAGGTCCTCCAGTACCGTTTCCATGGCAGCCAGCAATTCCATACCAGCATCACCCTGGGTAAGACAGAGGCCAAAAATGCATTGTGTGCTCCATAGGCCCAAGTTCAAGCCTCTTGCGCATAGCTGTGGCGCTGAGGTTAGAGCCCAAGGCACTGGAATAATTCACACCAATTGATCTGACTTTGATGTATGTTTTCAAAGTAAACAGTCCTCACTCGGGAGCTTTCTTTGACATGGCACATTGGACTGCATGGAGGAATCGGCTTGCTGCAGAGCTTGTTTCTCTCCAAATGATCTCCTCATTAGCCGCACACAATCGGAGAGCCTTCAAAGTTGTAAACATGTAGCCTTCCTGTAGCCTTAAGCGAGCTAGCGCAGAGAAGCAAGTGTTGCTTCTGAATGGTGAGGCAAGCAGAGTTCAGGGGACTTCCCAGAGTTCACAGCGAACACAAAAGCAAGAGAGGGGTCTGTGAGAATGCAACAAAAAAGAGAGTCTGGTGTGGAATAACCTGTATGGTTTGAGCAAAAGTACCGGGAAAGGAGCCAGAGTCTCAGCCCATGATATAAACAGTCTGACAGGATGTGTTAATTAATGCTAACCTCCGCAAATTTACAGCTTCAGATCAGTAGTATAATTCTGCGGTTACCAAACAAATAGATAAAGATCATGCTTTGTTTTTATTTATGTTTTTTAAGAGACTTAAAAGAGACTTTTGATGAATCATAAACGGTACAATGATTTCAACAATGCCAGTGGCAGGAGAAATTCCTTTCTTTATTAGAAGGTAATGACTACTCCTTGGAAATGATTTTTAGACGTCGCTACAAAAAAAACAACATAGGCTCATTCTGAAAACGTAGCCATATATACATTTCTGGAGATCGAAAATTATGTAACCACATATGTATGGCTGCATTTTGTCTTTAAAACTGATGATACAGGGCAGTATTACACCATTTCTTTTCGCACTAGCAGCTGACCACTCCTCATGGATGGCTTTCCCATTGTTACCAGTTTGTCCTGTGGCTGGCAGCATATACCGCTGGATTTTAGATGCATAGACAAGTTGACCACAACAATGAAGTTCGAGTCTGGCTAAGAAAGCTTCCAGAAAGTGGAAAGACAAAAACAGAATCCAAAAAATAAAATAAACTACTAAACAACAGGGTAAGTATGTGAAAGCATAGTAAAAATTAGGTGGCTTTCTTTTTCTGGATTGCTTTTTAAAACTGTCGGTTGGGTTTAGGGAAGTGGGCGGGTGGGTCAATTGGTGACAGCAGCCTCTGGTGGATTTATGCGAGAAGAGCAAGCACGAATGGCACTCGGTGAAAGAAATTTGAGTTTTCACAAAGCATACACAGCGGCCTCTGATGAATTCGCTAAAACAAAAACTACAGAAAAATGTAGCTCCTGGGACGTATTTCGCGGTTTGCAAAAATGTATATAATGGTATGTTTTCAGAATGAGCCTGGGTTGAATTGTTCTTTGATGTCAACAGGAAAGTGTAAAAATTCTCCAGAAATGGTTTTACATGCCCTTTCCCTACCCTAGGAATTCGCTCCTATATGATATGGTTGTTTTTTTATATATATTTGAATGGTTCTAAATATTAATGAGCTCTGCTTTAATGCTCAGGCAGCTCAGGTCAGTAAATGACGATCACAGAGTGTGACGTACTCTGAAATACACCCTTGCAAAATAATCATGCTACAGTTGTCAAAAAAAAATCTAATTGAGTAATTGAGAGGTTTAATTTAGCTAGAAGAAGTAAGTAAGCTGTCTTTATGCCATCAGAGTTACCTAGTTTGCTACAGAGTTGTGTTGTGGTTGAGAGTAATCTAAATTATAAATATACGCCACAAAAGAAGCGGATGTATTTAGAGTTGTATTTTGTTGTTTTAATTTATATAAAAATGCAGGAATTAATATAGACAAGGGGTGCTCAATCCTGCTCCTGGAAATCTACCTTGCTGCAGATTTCAGTTGCTACCCATATCAAACACACCTGAACCAATTAATTAGGACCTGAACACCACTTGATAATTACAGGCAGGTGTGTTTGATATGGGTAGTGTCACACAACCAGCGATCGCTTCCCAGAGGATCCCTGGTTTTCACACGAACTCTCTAAACTACATTTCCGCTTTTCCCAGGACTACATTTTCATACATGCACTGCTCCCAGACACGCACGTCTGTTCAGTCATCTATCCTGATTGCAAACACCAGCTGGACCTTGTTCACAGACTGATTTTACTCCATTCATAAGCCACTCTACCACGCTACCAGTTTGCCGAGTCTTGTTTTCCCAGTGTGACATTACGAAGCGTTTCCCTGTCTTGTTTCTCCGTGTCTCGTTCCCAGCCATGTACCTTTGTTATCCTGTATAGCCGCCTGCCTTTTGACCATTTGCCTGTTTAACGTTTACGATTCTGGACTGCCTTAATATACCCGTTTGCACCTGATGACCACTGCTTGCCTGACATTGAATAAACCTGCATATTGGATCTTACCTCCTGTTGTTTCCTGTCACTCCACCCCAGTCGTGGTAACAGAAGACTCGGCCAGAACATGGATCCAGCGGGCATTCAAATCATGCTTCTCCGTCAGGAAGCCCAGTCAATTGAGGAATACGTGGAGGACTTCATTAATCTAGCCCACCGTACAACCTTAAATAAGGTATGCCTTATGATTTTCTTTCATGGCGGACTGTCTGAACCCCTATACTCCAATATACCCCTTTACGGACCCCAATGGACTTAAGAAAAGTATATTGATCTAGCCATGCAAATGAGTGGATCTTCCTTCACCATAGGAGAGGTGGACGAAAATCCAAATAATCTTTTGGGGGGGGGCTGTAGAGAGCAAGACCCGCTGGCTACGGGGCTTGCGAACCATTGTCCACAGCCAGCTCACAAGATGGCCGCTCCCAGTCAGCCAGCTCACAAGATGGCTTCCAGTACAAGTTCTGTTCCTGCTCCTGAAAGGCCATCTCCAGAGCTGCCATTCCCTCCAGAGCTGCCAGACCGTCCAGTGCTGCCAGATCCTCCAGTGCTGCCAGATCCTTCAGAGCTGCCAGACCGTCCAGTGCTGTCAGATCCTCTAGAGCTGCCAGAATCACTGCTACCGCCAGAGCTGCCACCGCCAGAGCTGCCACCGCCAGAGCTCCCACCGCCGGTGCAAGAGCCGACGCCGCAGCCAGCGCCTCAGCCAGAGCCGACGCCACAGCCAGCCCCTCAGCCAGAGCCGACGCCGCAGCCAGCGCTTCAGCCAGAGCCGACGCCACAGCCAGAGCCGACGCCGCAGCCAGCGCCTCAGTCAGAGCCGACGCCTCAGCCAGCGCCTCAGTTAGAGCCGACGCCGCAGCCTGAGCTTCCCGAACGGCCGCCGCCGCAGCCTGAGCTTCCCGAGTGGCCGCCGCCGCCTGAGCTTCCCGAGTGGTCGCCGCTGCCGCCTGAGCTTCCCGAGTGGTTGCCGCCGCCACCTGAGCTTCCCGAGTGGTCGTCGCCTGAGCTTCTCGAGTGGCCGCCGCCTGAGCTTCCCGAGTGGTCGCCGCCGCCGCCTGAGCTTCACGAGTGGCCACCGCCATCTGAGCTTCCCGAGTGGTCGCTGCCTGAGCTTCCCGATTCGCCCTGTCGGCGCCATCCAGACTCCTCGTCCTGTCGGCGCAATCCAGACAGCTCACCCAGCCGGCATCTTCCAGACTCCTCGCCTTGCCGATCCCAACCCGGCTCCTCGCCCTGTCGGCTCCCTACAAGCCTCCAACCCTGCCGGCTCCTCGCAGTACTCCAGGTCCTTCGCTGCCACACGATCCAGGACCACTGCAGCTCCACTCTCCGGGTCTTCCGCAGCTCCCGTCTCCAGGCCCTCCGCAGCTCCACGCCCCAGGTACGCCCCAGCTGCATGGTCCTGGCCCTCCATCCCTCCCCCTGTTCCGCCTCCGCTCCGCCTCCCGCCTGAACAGTAGTGGAGTGTCTGGAATCCACTCCTAGAGGGGGGGCTATGTCACACAACCAGCGATCGTTTCCCAGAGGATCGCTGGTTTTCACACGAACTCTCTAAACTACATCTCCGCTTTTCCCAGGAGTACATTTTCATACATGCACTGCTCCCAAACACGCACGTCTGTTCAGTCATCTATCCTGATTGCAAACACCAGCTGGACCTTGTTCACAGACTGATTTCACTCCATTCATAAGCCACTCTCTCACGCTACCAGTTTGCCGAGTCTTGTTTTCCCAGTGTGACATTACGAAGCGTTTCCCTGTCTTGTTTCTCCGTGTCTCGATCCCAGCCTTGTACCTTTGTTATCCTGTATAGCCGCCTGCCTTTTGACCATTTGCCTGTTTAACGTTTACGATTCTGGACTGCCTTAATATACCCGTTTGCACATGATGACCACTGCTTGCCTGACATTGAATAAACCTGCATATTGGATCTTACCTCCTGTTGTTTCCTGTCACTCCACCCCAGTCGTGGTAACAGGTAGCAACTGAAATCCGCAGGAAGGTAGATCTCCAGGAACAGGATTGAGCACCCCTGATATAGACCTTTACATAAACAGATGAGTCTTTGACGTTTATCAGCTTTCTTTAACTTCAGAAAAATCACAGTAAGAGCTGAGTGATATGACTTGATGCATGAACGTGCATTACACACATATATTCAGCCATTTAAATGTGTCTGGTGCCACAATACAAACATATGCGGCAACTTTCGATTATACACATTAAACAAATCAATCAAAACGTATGCATCTTTTCTTATGCTCTTTTACTTTCCTTTTAAGTCATTTTCAAAATAAGAGTCTCACATACATATTAAGTATACAAGCTTAGATTGACGTATAAAAAAAGGGAAAAAAATATCGTTGTATTCTCACTAGAAAACATTATGGACAAACAAATGCTTCCTTGGACATGCATATTAATGATCCGATGTAAATAATCAGTCTATTTTCACCAGAATTTCACACTTATAGGATTTACACAGGAATGAGAAAACAATGGTGTTTAAGGCTACGGTATGTCATTGCCATGTACTAAACTCTGACAATTC